CACCTTCGACCCTTACGACCACGCACGCACCCCGTGTGTCTTTTTCGCTTCTTCAGCACGGAAATCACTTACTAAAAAAGGGGGGGAAGTCGAAATTATAAAGAGCAACCCAAGCGCGGTTCTCTCTACTCTTTCATAGGATCGTCTGCCACAGGAGGAGGTATTTCGATTCCCTTTTTCTTGCACATGTCCACGATGAGTTCACCGCAGCGAGGGTAGCCGAAGCACCGGGCGTCGTCGAGGGGAGTTCGGTTCCAGCGATCCTGAGGGAGGAGGAAAAGATGGCGTTATGTGAGAGAGAGAGAGAGGGGGAAGAAAGGAGGGAGAGGGAGGGAGGGAAGAAGAGAGGGAGACAGGGAGGGAGGAGAGAGAGAGAGGGAAAAAAAGAGAGAGAGAAGAAAGGAGAGTGAGTGAGAGATAGATAGATAGATAGATAGATAGATAGATAGATAGATAGAGAGAGAGAGAGAAAGAGTGTGTAAAGTACAACATTCTCAAAATGCTCAAGCGAAATCAAGCTCTATCTAGCCTGAGCAAAAAAAAAAAAAAAAAAAAAACAGCATCATCAATAATAATAACAATAACAATAATACTAATAATAACAACAAATAATGGTCTTGAGATCCCCAGCTTTCACCAGAGACCAGAGACCCTACCCCCCATGACCCTGACCTTGGGCAATGGGTTGACCTGGCAGTTCTTGAGGAGGTACTCGACGATCTCGATGTGGCCCTCGGAAGTCGCCACGTGGAGAGCTGTTCGTCCGTCGTAGTCCTTCGCCTCCATATTCGTGCCCGAGAGCGAGTGTCTGCGGAGGATTTGAGGACGAGGATAACTTAGGACTAAGAGTATTTATGGGATGGCATGCGAGGATAAGGACTATTTTTTGTATTGGCAACGAAATAAGTGCGTTTATGAATAATAATAGATCATTTCTATGTTGTCTGATAAAAAAATGGTGTTTACTACTTCTGTTCGTTTAAATTTTGGTTTATAATATAACGTCGATGTGTCTATGTTAGTCTCGTGATTGGTGTGGATTAATGTGTATTCATCGATACTTACTGGTAAGGATTTTAACTAATGAAGCATTTAATAAACGCATTTTCGGGTGACTGGTCCAGGAACACCTACGGACGCGCTTGTCCACACGTAGTCGTCACTGGTTAAGTTATTATTATGAATCTACGCGGAAAATTAGTCTTGCACTCCCGAGCACTGGACTCTGAATATAAACCTGGATCTTTCAAGACAAGAGAGCTTTTCAAAACAAGAGAGCTTCTGTCCCCCTCACCTCCTGAGAGCAGACAGATCACCAGCAGCAGCAGAGAAGAGGAGGTCGAAGAGGATCTGCGCCCGGGACTCCGCTCTGGCCATGCGGGGGTCCGTCTTGGTCGTGATGTGGTTGCGGAGGTTGTCGAAGTTGTGAAAGGTGAATCTCGAGACGAGTTCCTGGGGGGGGGGGGAGGTGTATCATGCGATCTCATCATTATCATCATGCACAACTTCTCCGGCTTTTACCACTGGTCCCCTTATTTACCGAGTATACAATAATCTAATTACTTTTTTCCCCCAGTGGCATTATCCTCAATCCCAGTCATAAAATGAAGTCATATCATAATCATATAAAATAAAAACACACAATCGCGTTCTTAATTACTCAACACATCACCCAGGATCCTCCCACTTACCATGCAGAACTGAACGCCGCGGCAGGAGTTTCCGTTCGAGTCGAGGGGCGGCGACCAAAGGCAAATGCCCATGGTGTTGGGGACGACCAGAAGCACACAGCCTGACACACCAGATTTGGAAGGGAGTCCAACCTGAGCGGCGAAGAATGGTTGATAGTCTATTAATTGCTAGGTAACAGGAAACGATCCGTGAGTACCCAGTTGCTTATTGTGGAATCCAAGTGGCTATCAATTGCTAGGAAACAGGAAACTGTCCTTTGGTACCCAGTTGCTTATTGTGCATATCAAGTGGCTATCAATTGCTAGGTAAGAGGAAGCTGTCCTTTGGTACCCAGTTGCACATTAAGAAGTTCAAGAGGCTATCAATTCCTAGGTAAGAAGAAACTGCATTGTTCAGTACCCAGTTTATCACGAAGGTTAAGAAACTATTAACAGCCAGTTGACAGAAAACAGTTAGGTACTTAACAACACAATTCACCAAACACCCAATCCTTTCACTCTACCTCATCATACCCAAGACATAAACATACAAAACAACAAGACGTCGCGACATGAACCATTCTCATGCCCCGACGACTGCCCCGGGGTCTAACCTTGAACGCGAACTGCCCCGAGTAATTGTACATGCCACAGGAGTGCATCAAGGTCAGGGTATTTCTCACAGCTTCCACGGTCAACACGGGGTCACCGGTCAGAGGATTGATGCCGCCGTTGGCCAGTGTCGCCGCCATGACCGCTCCTGCCTCCGCCGTGATCTCCAGCGAACACAGCTGAAGAAGGGCGGGGGCGGTCAGAATTTATTTACCTTT